CCCCGTCCACCCCGTGACCACCCCTGCCCGCTCACGCCGTGGCCGTCGCCCCCGCGGCTGTGTCCGGTGCCCGCGCCCCTGGATTCCCGCAGTCGCCGCGGCCCGACCTCGCCCCACGCCCCTCCCTGCCTCGCCGCCGGCGGCCGGGCTGGCCCCGTCGCGCCACTGGTCTCGCCCGAGGCCAGCGCCCGGGTTAGCCCCTGTCGGGCGCCCGTGCGCCCGTTACCAGTAGCGCCCATTCCGGTTTGGCCCCCTGGGGCCTATGACAGATGGGCCCCATGTCCAGAATGTTTGAATAAAAAAAAGAATTAAAATAATAATAATAATAAATAATAATTAAATAAATAATTATTATTAATTAATTAATTAATTAATTAATTAAATTAATTAATCTTGATTAGATTAACCTAATTACTAGTTAACTTAATTAACCCCTGATTAGCCTAATCAGTCAATGACATGCGGAACCCACACATAGTTGACCCAGTCAACTGCACAGTTGACTGCTGACATCACTCTGATGTCATGCCTACGTCATCACACACTGTTTTGGATAATGTTGGAATTAAATATATAATTAAAATTAGAAAATGATTTAAATCTTTAGAAAATCATATCTTTTAATCCGTAATTCGGATGAAAATACTTTGTACATGAAAGTTGCTCAGAACGACGAGACGAATTCGAATACGCAGCCCATTCATCCGCCACGCATCCCTAGCATAGCAAACATGCAACTTTCCCCCTCCGGCTCCTCTGTCCGAAAACGTGAAACACCGGGAATACTTTTCCGGATGTTTTCCGCCTCCACCGATACCACCTCGTACCGCGTTAGGGCACACCTAGCATCACGCTTTGTCATGTCATGCATCGTCATGCATTTGTTTGCAATTTATTTATTGTTTCTTCCCCCTCTTCTCTCGCTAGACACCGAGACCGACGCCGCTGCTACCCAGTACGACTACGGTGTTGACGACCCCTCTCTCTTGCCAGAGCAACCAGGCAAGCCCCCCCCTTGATCACCAGATATCGCCTACTCTTCTTTCTACTGCTTGCATTAGAGTAGTGCAACATGTTACTGCTTTCCGTTAATCCTATTCTGATGCATAGCCTATCATTGTTGTTACAACTGTTGATACCTTAACTACAATCCTAAATGCTTAGTATAGGATGCTAGTGTTCCATCAGTGGCCCTACACTCTTGTCCGTCTGCTATGCTATACTACTGGGCCGTGATCACCTCGGGAGGTGATCACGGGCATATACTAAATACTTCACACTGTTACCTTACCGGTGATACTGTTTGGAGATGTGGGCTGAAGGGGCAGGTGGCTCCATCCCGGTAGAGGTGGGCCTGGGGTTCCCGACGGCCCCCGACTGTTACTTTTTGGCGGAGCAACATGGCAGGTTGAGACCACCTAGGAGAGAGGTGGGCCTGGCCCTGGTCGATGTTCGCGGATACTTAACATGTTTAACGAGATCTTGGTATTTGATCTGAGTCTGGCTACTGGCCTATACGCACTAACCATCTACGCGGGGACAGTTATGGGCACTCGACGTCGTGGTATCAGCCAAAGAACTTCGTGACGCTAGTGACTGAGCGGCGCGCGCCGGGTTGGACCACGTAACGTGACTTCCTTTGTACTGGAGGTTGCTAGGTCTGCTCTCCGGCCGCGTACGCAACGTGCAGGTGTGCTATGGGCGATGGGCCCAGACCCCTGTGCGCTTAGGTTTAGACCGGCGTGCTGGCCTCTCTGTTGTGCCTAGGTGGGGCTGCGACGTGTTGATCTTCCGCGGCCGGGCATGACCCAGAAAAGTGTGTCCGGCCAAATGGGATCGAGCATGTTGGGTTATGTGGTGCACCCCTGCAGGGAAGTTAATCTATTCGAATAGCCGTGATCTTCGGTAACAGGACGACTTGGAGTTGTACCTTGACCTTATGACAACTAGAACTGGATACTAAATAAAACACACCCTTCTAAGTGCCAGATACAACCGGTGATCGCTCTCTCATAGGGCGACGAGGGGAGGATCATCGGTTAGGATTATGCTATGCGATGCTACTTGGAGGACTTCAGTCTACTCTCTTCTACATGCTGCAAGACGGAGGCTGCCAGAAGCGTAGTCTTCGAAAGGACTAGCTATCCCCCCTTATCCCGGCTTTCTGCAGTTCAGTCCACATATAATAGCCTTATTCCAGTTGATACCAATGCATACATATGTAGTATAGCTCCTTGCTTGCGAGTACTTTGGATGAGTACTCACGGTTGCTTTCTCCCTCTTTTCCCCCTATCCCTTCTACCTGGTTGTCGCAACCAGATGTTGGAGCCCAGGAGCCAGACGCCACCTTCGACGACGACTCCTACTACACCGGAGGTGCCTACTACTACGTGCTGCCCGCTGACGACGACCAAGAGTAGTTTAGGAGGATCCCAGGCAGGAGGCCTGTGCCTCTTCCGACCTGTATCCCAGTTTGTGCTAGCCTTCTTAAGGCAAACTTGTTTAACTTATGTCTGTACTCAGATATTGTTGCTTCCGCTGACTCGTCTATGATCGAGCTCTTGTATTCGAGCCCTCGAGGCCCCTGGCTTGTAATATGATGCTTGTATGACTTATTTTATTTGTAGAGTTGTGTTGTGATATCTTCCCGTGGGTCCCTGATCTTGATCGTACACGTTTGCGTGTATGATTAGTGTACGGTCAAATCGGGGGCGTCACAGAATGCCCCAGTTGCAACTCGACCATTGAGTCACAACTCGGGGCGGTGTTTACTCGATGCTACTTGCAAGTCGACCTTGGACTCGCAAACGGGGTCGGCGGAGGGCTGTCGGCGCCGATGAAATCGGTTCCTTTTTTATTTTTTTATTATGTTAGGTTTTTTGTTGTTGTATTTGCAACCACTCCAACCCGAGCGCATTCGCAACTCAATACACCCAAGCGCAACCGGACGTCGGGGAGGGGGTTGTCGGTGCCGATGAAATCGGTTTCATTTTTTGATAGGGTTTATTGTTGTAGTTGCAACCGCCCCATCCCGAGTGCAATCGCAACTCAACACACACAAGCGCAACTGCAAGCCATATAATGTGACTGCAACCAGGGTTGGCGGTTGGATGTTTTTTTAGCATCACATAGATGGGTTTTCTATCATTTCCCCTCACGGTGGGTCCATACAAGCAATTTTTTCATTTTGGCTAATTTTTTGTGTTTTTTTTTTGGAACGCACGACCCAACTCCGGCATTTCCCACATGAAAATACATAATGTTCTTGAATAGCACTCCAAGGTGCACACTGCATTGTTTTTTTTCCTATATATATATGTGTGTGTGTGTGTGGACACACACACAATATACACACACACACACACACACACACACACACACACACACACACACATATATATATATAGACACACACACACTTGATCCCAGTTTCGCACTGTTGAACGCTTATAGTTGTATCTTCGTCGGTCATACATAATGTTTCCAAAAAAATATCACTCCAATGTCTTAGCTTTTCATCTTATATCATTTTATTTTGGTTTACTCTTTGTTTCCATCTTAAAACTTATTTACGATATTTTTTTTAGCCTTGAATGAAAAATCAACTATAAAGGCCTTGGCTTAGTGAACAAAAATATTAAGCAAAACTATTTTAATAGTGATCTCGGAGCTTTAATTATTCAATGTTTCCTATTTTTTGTTAGTGACACACACATGCAAATGTTCATGTGTTTGTTGATCGTGCATGAAACTCGTCGGATGTGGCCAGCACATTTGCCTTGACGTTGTGCAGCCCGAGTAAATTGACAGGAAGGACAAGTGCAAGGGGAGACAAGGCCAGCCCAAAAAAAAAGACAAGCAGGCCGGACAGGGAAACGAACCGGACCTTGGCATGCAGTGTGACGTCAGGTGACATCAGGTGACTGAGACATAACTATGTCTCAGTCAGCTGAGTTCCAGGCGATCCCTTCTTTATATATTCCACTTCATGTGGATTTTGGTGATGAATAAATTGGTTTCACCCCTAAAAAAACATCTATTCTCTGTACTACTTCTACATATATTCTTACCTACAAATGCTATGGTTTCACTATCATTTGCTAATGCTATGGTTTACAAATATGGCGTGACAGGGATGTGATGCTTCTGTTCTCCTGGACGCAACTCCCTTCTCCCGCAGCGAGAAGAATATGGAGCCGAGCGCCTCCCTCACCGGCTACGCCGTCATTGACGACATCAACTCCGCGCGCTCGAGCACGACTGCCCGGCCACCGTCTCCTGCGACGACGTCATCGCCCACGCATCCCGCGACGCCGTCGCCCTGCTCGGAGGACCCACCTGGAGCGTGCCCCTCGGCCGCAAGGACTCGCGCTTCGCCGCCCACCCGGAATCCACCAAGAACGGCCTCCCCAGCCCGCACGACGACCTCGGCGAGCTCGTCACCATGTTTTCAAGGCTCAACCTGGACGCCCGTGACATGACAGCGCTCTCCGGTGCCCACACCGTCGGGATGGCCAGCTGTGACACCTACAGGGACCGTGTCTACGGCACCGACAGTGATGAGGAGATCGACCCATACTTTGCACAGACCACGCAGCAGACGTGCCAGGGTCTTTCTGGTAAGGCGCCATTTGACGTGCAGACGCCGATGAGGTTCGACAACGCTTACTACAAGAACCTTATCGCACGGCGCGGTCTCCTTTCCTCTGACCAGACTCTCTACGGCGGTGGGGGTCTGCAAGACAATCTCGTGGAGATGTACAACACCGACGGTGAGGCGTTCGCTAGGGACTTCGCCAAGGCCATGGTGAAGATGGGAAACGTGCCTCCGCCGCACGAAATACCCGTGGAGGTGAGGCTCAAGTGCTCTATGGCAAATAACTATTGATTGCTTGATGCCTTGATCCCAAGTGCATCATGCAACCCGGCCTGATCATATTGGATTCAATTATTAAATGTACAGAATGTAACAGTACTAGTGTTAGGAATAAACCATGTGTGTGCGGATGTGCGTCGCGTGTGTGTGCGCGTTCCTGTCCGTGGTCACCAGCGTATGTGTGCGCGTGTGTTTGGGTCGAGTCTAGCCGGTTTGTGGCGATCGTATGGCGATCGAGATAGCGTGCAGCAGGTGCAACAGGAGGAACCTGGCGTCCAGGTCGGGCGGACGAGCAAGCCGGGCTCACGATCGATGGAAGACCGGATCGCTAGGAGGCTCCGTTAGCGCTGCGTTTCTGTTAGCTACAAACCTGGCTGTGATCTGAGTTTGGTAGAGAGTCCAGTTTGTTATACGTAGGTTGTTAGCCTAGATACGATCTGGTGTGTCCAACTTTATATAACAGGAGAAAGAGGGCGTTCGGCGCCGTGTCGTACGTTGCCAGAAACATGCGAGTCCCTGTTTGTTTTCATCTACCTCCATCCTTGAAAACCAGTTCGAGCTAGCTAGGGTTAGACCCCAACAACTAGTACGTGTTTATTTTTTATTTTTTTTCCTCATACAATGTCGGCTCAACAGAATGTTTGACACAAACGTTCCATACATGTGTGTGTAATAAATGGTGTTTCTCAAGTTTGTTTTAACAGGAAATATATAATGAGCTCACGTTCGATAGTTATATAATGAGCTCGCATTTTATTGTTATATTTTTGCACTTGGGGATTATCAGTGATGCTTCCGCATGTCTGAACGGCTATTCTATCGAGTTGCCAATAACATGGAATCTAATGAACCGTTCTTCAAGAGAAATGCCGCCGGTCTTTTTTTTTCCAGAAGATGATCATGGCACTTCAAATATGATTGCATATGGCACACCTACAGATATGTCAGATGAATATCTTCGGAAGGCCGACCACAAAATGCACAAAATTGTTCTTCGATGTGTGGTTAGGGTTCATGGAGCTCAGTATCTGTGAGCACTCAATGCCGATGAAAGAGGCTTAGCAATGAGTAAAGTAAGAGGATGACCTAGGATGCTTGGGATCGTTCACTTTATCATTGGAGGTGGAATAATTGCCCAACAACATGGCACGGGCAATTCAGTCGGTTGCCATGATCTAACTATTATCTTGTAAGTTGTTGCCTCCGAGGATTTGTAGATTTGGCATGGCTACTTTGGTCTGCCTGAATCTCACAATGACATCAATGCTTGCAGAGATCTATATGTTTGTTAGGTAATATGTGGTACTACTCCAAGATATGACAAGGTGAATGACCATGCACGATTATGACCAATTATACTATCTAGCCAATGACAACTATCCATCTTAGTCAACATTTATGATCCCCAAACAAACATTTTGCAAAGATGTAAGAAGTAGTAAGGAAGGACATTGATAGGTCATTTGGAATGTTGCAAGCTAGTTTAGAAATTGTCTGGTGTCCTGCTCATTTATGAAACAAAGATATCTTGGCAAGGATCATGACTTTTTGTCTGATCCTACATGACATGATCAGTGCAGATGAGAGGAATACACAGATGGTCCAAGAGTATGACAATGTTGGCACAACTATCAAGCCTCACAGACACACAAACTGCATTCAAGCATGTCACGAGGCATGCCGGAAGAATGAAGATCGGGCTCCCATGATCAGTTGTGTGAAGATTTCATATAACATCAGTGACATCTGCATGGGCGATAGTGTGTTTACATTTCTTTACTTCGTTATTTTTGTACTTGGACAATTTGGTTCTCGATTATTTGTTGCCTTCATATTATTATTGTATTCATATGGATGGCTTGTAATAATATTTTTGAATTGTTTGATTTCAATGTCAAATTAGAGTAGTAGAGTAGCTAGAAGAAAAAAGGAAGAAAACTACAGGGCCTGCTGTTTTGAAGACTTTTTATTTAACATCGCCTATGCAACCTTCGAAAATTTATGGTGTGCGCTCCAAAAGACTTTTGGAGGTGGCAAATATGGCAATTGCGTCCTAATGTAAACATGTAGTTTGGCCTCTACTACGCTGAGACGCACGAAACACATATGTATTATATTTAGCATTTTGGATTATCATTTTTAGCATTAAAACTATGCAAGATTGTTAACTATGCATGGTTGGTACGGATCTACTACTTGGCATACATGGAAATGTGCGAACAACCTAACTAGTTACAGTATATCAATAAGTACGTTATTGTATATAGTATTATTGCTAAAGCCATGAACAATAGTATACATCAACTTGATCATAAAGTGCGAGAATCTGCCCCACTTGATGACGTTCAACATGCTAAGTTGAGACTTGAGGGTCATACATACATATGAAACCATGAGGCAGACATAAGATGAAATTATGAAGAGGTCATACAAAGTTCTTAATGAATATGGGGCGTACATGTAGTACAATTTTTCCGTAGGTGACTCAAGGTTTGAGTCAGTGCAAATAAATACTCAATAATCAGTTTTCTAAATTGTTTGGTTCTAGAAACATATCATATATCTTCGAATTATAAAACTCCACCATTGTACGGATTGCATACATTCTAGGCTTCCAGTTCCCACAAGGGTGTGTTTACATGATTTTTTTGTCAAACTACGTAAAATCGACTCCTAATTCACCCTACTCACCTTTTGAACTAGGCAAACAGCCCAAGTGGACAACATGTGTGTTTACAATTCAACGGATCAAATAAGATTCTCGGCATGGACAATTGAACCATCTAAGCAAGCAACCATGTCGACGCATCCTTAATTTTGTGCAATTCAAGCTAGGTACGTGTATTAATTAGCCAGGCAATTCACCCTAGCGTGGGGGTACTTGGTCATTCATTGTCCAAGGTACTCAGGGAATTGGATGACACATTCATAATCATGGAATCATCCGTTGACCCCACCCACCTCTCCAACGGAGATTTGCACTCTCCCAAGAGTGTTAATTTCGCATTACATCTTTGTGTCCATCACTTCTGGTCGTCCCTAACCCTATCTTCATTGGGTACTAATTATTACTTGCTTGCTTGTTTGGCTTGTGTACCTTGCTCGCATGTTGTGACGCAACATATACGGTGTATCACCTGGTTGCATATCTAGAGAACTTACATTTCTGTACTTGTCTCAAAAATCAACAAAGAAAATAGTAAATTTGGCAGCCACCTATTCTGCCCCCAGGTCCTAGTCGACATATCGAATATCTTTGATCCTTTAGTTTGGTAGGTGGGTCACCCACGAATAGCCAAACTCCTCCTGTCGGGCTAGTTTGATCATATTGTCCGACCTTTCGTTGCCATTATCAATTTTGACTCAAAAATTAAGATATGTAGACACACCAATACTTTAGGTTATATGACTTCCTGTGCTCCTCATATCATCTTTGTGCCTCATTGATGCCAACACCTATCATATGGAGGTCACAGATTCGCTAAACATTGCATGCGTACACGTGAATGTATGGATCTAGTTTTTTGGGCCCTTAAATTAGACAACAAGCAATGTGTATACCATTCATAAATAACCTCTTAATTGAAGGAAATATGCCCTAAAGGCAATAATAAAGTTTTTATTTTAAATTTCCTTATATCATGATAAATGTTTATTATTCATGCTAGAATTCTATTACCCGGAAACTTGATACATGTGTGGATACATAGACAAAACACCGTGTCCCTAGTAAGCCTCTACTAGACTAGCTCGTTAATCAAAGATGGTTAAGTTTCCTAACCATAGACATGTGTTGTCATTTCATAAACAGGATCATGTCATTAGGAAAATGATGTGATGGACAAGACCCATCTGTTATCTTAGCATATTGATCGTTTAGTTTTATTGTTATTGCTTTCTTCATGTCAAATACATATTCCTTCGACTATGAGATTATGCAACTCCCAGATATCGGAGGAATACCTTGTGTGCTATCAAACGTCAATACGTAACTGGGTGATTATAAGATGATCTATAGGTATCTCTGAAGGTGTTTGTTGGGTTGGCATAGATCGAGATTAGGATTTGTCACTCCGAGTATCGAAGAGGTATCTCTGGGCCCTCTCGGTAATGCACATCATAAGAAGCCTTGCAAGCAAAGTGACTAATGAGTTAGTTACAAGATTGTGTATTAAGGACCGAGTAGAGACTTGCCGGTAATGAGATTGAACTAGGTATGTGGATACCGACGACTGAATCTCGGGCAAGTAACATACCGATGGACAAAGGGAATAACATATTTGTTATAATGGTTCGACCGATAAAGATCTTCGTAGAATATGTAGGAGCCGATATGAGCATCCATATTTCGCTATTGGTTATTGACCGGAGAGGTGCCTCGGTCATGTCTCCATAGTTCTTGAACCCGTAGGGTCCGCACGCTTAACGTTCGATGACGATTTAGTATTATATGAGTTATGTGATTTGGTGACTGAATGCTGTTCGGAGTCCCGGATGAGATCACGGACATGACAAGGAGTCTCAAAATGGTCGAGAGGTAAAGATTGATATATAGGATGATAGTATTCGTATACCAGAAGTGTTCCAGAGTGTATCGGGTAATTATCGGAGTACCGGGGGGGGGGGGGTTACCGGAACCCCCGGGGGGAAGATATGGGCCATATGGGCCATAAGAGGGGAGCACACCAGCCCACAAGGGGTGCC